CAGCAGTTTTCCTCAGTCCTCTAGGGTCACTGTGATTTGGAATCAGTTCGACGACGACAGGGGACCATGGGTATACTGTGCTGTGTCGTGATAGGATATTTATGTGGGTGAGTCAAAAATTATCCGCACTCCGGTTATCTCAAAATGCCCATTCACATCCATAGCTGATGACAACTTTGAGTGTGCATGTGAAATGATGCTGTCAAATGGACTGGTGACAGTGGATTATGTTGCAAATCATTTGCAAGTCAGCCACGGCTCTGCCTTCAGTAGTCCACAACAGACATGGGTTTCGGAAGTTTGTGCAAGATGGGTGCCGAAATAACTCATGAAAGAGCGGAATTGTAATAATAGCAATGAGAACTCTCATCCACATCCTCCCTGTCCCGGGGTGCTTGTCTTACCGCCTTCCCTACCAGAATGTCAGCTCCACGAGGGCAGGGGTCTCTTGTCTTACCCACTGTGCCTAGAACAAGTGTGTCGTGTAAAGGGGACAAAGGGAGGGATGTGCCAAGTGTGACATAGTCATAGTGTCCTGTAGTCCTTGCAATATCCCTTTGAGCTTATGGTACTACCACTGTATTCACTTCCCCAAAGAGGAAACTGAGGCTCAGAGATTTATGTCTCTGATATAAGTCACATAGCCAGGAGGTAACAAGTTCAAGTCCTGACTTCAACCCAGGGCCTTCCACACCTAGAGCCCAAGCTTCTGCACATGTCTGAAAACATGTGCCCTTGATCACCTTCCCTTGTCTCCTCTGAGCAGCTCATTACCCTGCGGGGCTCCATCCTGGAGGACGCCACACCCACAGCCACCAAGCATGGGACGGGAAGGGGCCTGCCCCTGAAGGATGCCCTGGAGTACGTCATCCCAGAGCTCAACATCCACTGCCTGCGACTGGCTCTCAACACCCCCAAAGTGACAGAGCAGCTGCTGAAACTCGACGAGCAAGGGGTAAGCCGGGGGCTCCGATGGCCCTGGAGCCCCAGCCTGCAGCCCCACTCCTGTCGCTCTGTCTCTTGGTTCTTCCCTTGTGGGTTTAATTTGGTTTTTACAAGAAGCATAAACCTACTGGAGGTACAGTTATGTTCAGCAAATGTAGGGATCTGTTAGTAAATTCTAGAAATGGCAAGAGCAAGAATGAAACTGGGTCATTTCTGTGTCCTCTTCCCCTCTCTCTATACCTTGGCCCCTTCTGCTCCTCTGGCCTCATGTAGCCCTCGGCTGGCTTCCTGTCCATCCATGGAGAACCTCTGACTGGCCATGCTTTAGTCCGCTCGCCCATAACCATGGGAGTCAGGACACAAAACACAAGCCTAACCCCTGGACCCACCTCCGAAAAGTGTTAACTGTGAATTCCCAGCCTCTCAAGTCCCCTTGTGCAGAATCTCAGCCCGTCCCATTCTGCCTCCGACTGTCCCCCAGGGGTGAATAAGTGCAGGCAGCACAGGGGGCCTGTCGTGAGTCTCTGGAGTAGGAAGGAGGAAGGGGGACAACTGGGACAGGCCCTGACATCCTTATTCCTTCCTCTCCGGCTGTGGCTTTGCCTTTCTGCCGACCTCGGCTGACCCTAGGGCTCTACACTTCCAGAAGCGCCCCCTTGATTCTGTTCCCTGTGCGTCTCTGCCCGGTGTATCTTCATAAACCCGGTGTGCTTGCTTCTACAGCTCTGCCGGAAACACAAGGTGGGCATCCTGTACTGCAAGGCAGGCCAGAGCTCCGAGGAGGAGATGTACAACAACGAGGAGGCGGGCCCGGCCTTCGAGGAGTTCCTCTCCCTGATCGGCGAGAAGGTCTGCCTGAAGGGCTTCACCAAGTATGCCGCCCAGCTGGATGTCAAGAGTAAGTGACTGCAGCGGCCTCCCCAGGGGCAGCAGTTAGATCCCACTCGGCCACCACTGCATTCCCACCCCTCTGGTGGCAAACGTTACAGAGGCCTGGGAATATCAGGGTGAGGACCAGGGGCATTGTCACTCTGGGACATGCTGTTAAGGCTGGGAATGGAAACCAGTGAGGCTTGTTCTAGTACACTTTGAAGGTGTGCCTTCTTTGTGATTCCACAGTTGCCCCATAGACTAGCGTCTCCTGCACAGTGGGATGTGGCTGGGTACCTGCAGCAGTAGACCTAGAGCACCCAGTAGGCAGTGACGGGAGCAGGGACTTGCACCCAGTAGCCCACCTGAGGGCCACACACCACACAGGTCTCAGGAGAGCACTTGTTGAATGTGGTGCCATTTTTAATCCGACAGTCATAGGGCTTACAGTGCCTGGAATGATACATTGAAGAGGAATGGCTTCATTCATCATCAGTAAGAACATTTCAATATTTATGTTGAAGTATAATGAAAACAAGTCCACAAGAGCCAAAGCATGACCT